AATGTTTGTAATATTGTAGGTATCTTTGGTGGCCAAACTGTAGCATTATCATTTCTCCTTGGGCTTGGCATTCCTCTAGTTCTTCTGCCAAGTCACAAAAAGGCAAATGAGCCCCTCAGCAGTTCTCTTGTTGCAGGCTCACAAGTTGAGCCTCCCACAATTCATCCAGCACAAGCCCTATGCCCTGCTGCAGTAATCTTTTCCTGGGTGTAAGCACACAGTGGTTATCCTAGTCTTCTACAAAAGACTGAATTTCATCCAAGTGTAGTGTGCAAGATCTGACCTTGACCTCTGAATTTGATCCCCAGGACAAATAAGAGATTCAGTGCTTACTACTTGGCTGTCACCAATGTTTCTCCCCTCTAAGGATAGGCTGTTTGAAGACTGCCAGTTGAAAACCCACTATTTTTAGCTACTAAAAGTGATCCTTAAGATTCCACCATGCCTTGGTGAGATGTATGAAAGTATTTCCTCCTTTCCTCAGGGCTTTATGCCCTGCAGAGGGGGGAAAAGATGAACACAGATATTAATGAAGAAGAATATCACTTTTCCCTCAATTACTTAGACTCTACACTGCAGTCAGATGCCTGGAAACAGACAATAAAGATACCAACATAGAGGAAAAGTGCAGCCTTCTAAATTCAGCCACCCACCTTCTCGCATGGCCAGACCGTGCAGGGACAATGAAGGAGTCAGCCAAAAGATATTTTCTTTGCCTTTTTCTAAAGAAAATGGAATAAAGTGACTGCACTGGATTATTTTGGTTGAAGTGACTGACATTCATGTCTTCCTCAAAGCAGTTTTATCAACTCTGCATACAGGTTTCATAACAACCAGCAAAGAAGACATGAAAGGCACCAGGAAAGTTCCATGTCTAAAAAATTCAATTCACAACTGGTAGCCTGATAGAAAACATCAGGGCTCTTGATATCATTTACAGAGTAAGCTAATTGGTGGAAGGAAAAAAAGTATACAGACTTGAAAAAAAATTAAGGTAGAAAGGTACACTTAAAATTTCCAGCCACAAGCAGACCAGTTCAGTTTTACTTTCAGGCTGCAATTATCTAAGGCCTTATCTCATTTATATGGTAATAACTTGTCTCATGTCAACTCAACAAACAGAAATAGCAGCTATGCAGCCCTGGCTCCCTGAATGCTCTGGCTGGCTAAAGCCTCCCACCGTGGGTGGATGGACCTCCCTGGGCTCAGAGCACCAATTAGACTTGCCAATGAGCAAAGCCTAGCAAGCGCTCTGAAGAGCATAACAAAGGCAGGGAATTTCTTCACGATATTAATTTAACTTAACTCTTTGTAGTTTTGCACATATTCAGCATGAAAACATTTTTAGAGATTTTTCTTTACCCAGGGGAGACTTACTGCTTACCGGTTTGGAAAGAGCTGTTCCTCAGTAAGGAGCAGCAAAATTTCATGGCAAGGTTCTGAAGTTACTCAAGGATGATTACCATACCTGTAAAGCTGTATTTTCTCTAAAATTCTAACTAATATAAAGTGAGAAAAGAGGCCAGAACAGATCTGGACATTCATGAGAGAAAGGCTTTGATCTTCTCCAATTTCAGTGGTAATTACTAAGGGGTGTCTTATCCCTGCACCAAAGCAGAGGAGGTGCATGGAGACCTCTTGGTTCCAACTAACCCTATGGATCTCAGGTATATTTAAAGTTAGGTAATTTAGGAACAACAAGACAACTGATGTTATTTGTGGGGAAAAAAATAAAAAGGCAGAAGGGAAGACCAGGGTTTGATTTATACCCCTGCTGTAGTATTATTATATGTTGTGCTGCTTTTTCCCTCTTCCAGAAAAGACACACAGATTTCAGGAGGATAGAGTCTGTGCTCGCTCCCTTGTCACTTTGCAGAGTGTAGGAACAGGCTGCCTGCTCAGATCATGCTGCTGATTAAACACTGGGAGTCAGGTATTTTAGCAACACCGATTTAAGTGCTTTGAATTCGGAACATTAAATATTATATGGGATTTACTTATTGTATTTAAATATAACTCAGTATTTCAATACGAATTGCTATCATACACATAAGATAATTGATGGTAAAATAAAAGGATTTAAAATCAATGCATTTGAGGACTGCATTATTCTTTTATACATAGAATGTTACACATGAAAGTCTAACCCCTACCACATCACAATAAACCCTGAGCCCCACAGTCCAGAGAAAGTCACTTTAAGATGTCACTTAGAGTTTCTGACCATCAGGAAGGGTTGGATTTGCATCACTTCATCTCTAAAACCATCCCTTTAGCCACAGTGCTTCAGGTGCACATTAAGAATGTGAAATTAAGGTTAGCAGTTCAGAAAGACTCTGAAAGGGATCCTAGAAGTTTTATGTTAAGTACAGCTCTGCTCACCATCCCAGCAATAACAAACCTCAACTATTTCCACCCCAGCATAATTATAATACTCCCAATCTCAGTCCTATCACGGACTCATGGAAGAGTCATCATGGACTGCTGTACCAGGACAGAGGAAGTTGATGGTGGGACAGAGGGAATGGAAATACTTTTGTGAAGCATTGGTACAAAGTTGCTAGCCATCAATAGATCAGTTTTGGACAATCAGTAGACTTGGGAGATACATACGAAGATCAGACAAGACAAGAAATTGTTTTGCCTTAGTTGATACAAGCAAAGCTGGGTTTATAGGCCCAGGTTAGGAGGATCAGTTCAGCTTTTAAGCCTGAACACAGAGGATTCAGTCTCCTGCCAGCTCAGGAGCCAGGGAGAGTTTTGATGGCGAGCAGCTGCAATCTATACTATCTTTTAAAAAAGTAAAAATAAAACATAAGTAGGAATAAAACTGCTTCTCAGTTGAGAACACTAGTATCAATAATGAATTTTCAATATTAATAAATCCTGTCTCCAGAGTTTTCCCAGAAAGTTTAATCAATATTTCATTGTGCTTTATTCTGAGAAGTAATACAAAAGACAACTCTGAAAAACTTAAGGAGAGGTGAAGGAACTGGTTAAAGATTAAGTTTTTTAAATGCTAATAGCTATGAGGAAGGCATTAGTGCATTTTAGCTCTGATTTCATCAGGAGTGGAATAGTTATGAGGGAGATTTAATGAGCAAGACATCCAGCATAGTGCTATTAAATGCTTCTCAAGCATAATAGGGTAATATTCCAAAAACGCAACAACTACCACACCATAGTCTTCAGCAGAGAGAGCACTGCCTCAGTAGAATTCTGGAATTTACACACAGAGCACCCCCCCACCCCCGATGTTAGAACCCAAATATCACACACACCATGTCCACATAAGGGAATCTTGTGCCATGGAGAAAGGTCTCGCTTCTGATTCCCATAGCACAAAACAAAAGGCCAAGCACTCAGGGCAGAACAAAAAGCCAAGACAAGCATCATGCATTCTGGAAAGTTAAAAAATAGCAAGGGTAAAGCTCATTTGAAGTTGCAATGAAAAGATAAGTCTCTAACGGCTTGAAATGAACATGATCATACACACTCAAACATTTTAAATCTGTATTCAAAGTCCTGTTAGATTCTAATACTACTCTGATGATTAAAGCTTATTCTCTCCCTCAGTAAATAACTCAACAGCAAAGAACTGTTTGGCCTAGAAAAGAGATGAACAATGGGCCGAGACTAGATAGCTGCTCTTTTCTGAGAGATTTCGGCCTCAATTTTGACTATGTGAGGAGAGGTTTCTGCTAAAGAGGAAGTCACACAAATAAAGTTGAAATGTTTGTATTCACAACAGCAATTTAGAATCAGTGTTTTCCGACCTTTATTCTGTTAGTAGAAGAAGAAACAGCTGATGGCATAAAAAGAGAACCCAGCAACATAATTTATATAAACTACTGCCACAGGAGAGTAATTTTTTTATTCAAGGACAAAGTACTGTTTTGTTCTAGCTGTGGTCAGAGGGGTTCATGCTGTGATACAGTATGCTAGTAACAGATACTTGGGAGTAAAGATACCCAAGAATGTTGTCTAGAGTATGGTCCAGAAAGCAAAATACTATTCTGTGTTTCCAGGTGTTTTTAGTTTATTTAATGTTAGCACCAAAATACATTTAAGTACTAAAGAGTGATCTGATTAGGAGCGAGTCTTCCAGTACCAAAGCACTCCTAAAAAAACAGGCAACTCAAGTTTCCTCCCCCTTAGAAAGAAACATTTTTAAACTTGAGATTTTAAAGCTGGGTAAAACACTTCCCAGATTAATTCTATTAACTCTGATGGGTCAGAACATGGTTTGTCCTAACACACCACTAGGCCTGATCCTAACCTCATGGGAACCTTTTAGATCAGACCCTAACAAGGGACATACTGGACAAACACACATAACACAAAAGATACTTTCTTTATATAAAAAAATTGCATGAACTTGAACCACACATGTTCTCGATATTGATTTTATCAGATGATTATAAAGATCAAGGAGAGATATCACAGAGTCTGAACCAACAGTCACAGAGCAAAAGCCTCTTAGAATGCACCTCAGACTTACTTGCCACACAGCCAAACACCAACCCAACAAGCTTCTCCGAAAAATTGAGCTATTCACAGGCATTTGTAAACTGTTAGCAGGTGATACTGCCAAGTACTAAAGCCACCTTGAGAGACCACTAATTAGATATATACACACCGATCAAAAGAGAATTGCTCTAGCAAAGATGAGATACACAGAGTCATGTTAAGAGACAAACAACATTTAGCAGCCAGTTTGGAACTACACTTTTAAATCTTCCCCAAAAAAATAAGCTTTGGGTATCTCGAAAGTTAGGAAACCAAAGACAAGAGCCTCACCTCATTCATGTTATATTCTTTTCAAGTTTAAGAGTGCTTACATCCAGCTTGTTTCTAGACAACTTTAAGAAAAACCTTATTTCTAGACAGCATTTTCCACAAATAGCTCTTTAAAAAAGGCAAACAAAAAAATTAACCTCATATTATTTCACAAAGAATTTACTTCCCAAGTCAAGAGAACAAAACTACATGTAACTGACCTGTTTTTAGAGCTTTTTCCACAAGCAGTTTGCTTAGCTGCACAGATGAATTTTCACTGGTGACTCTCTTTTGACTGGGACCTCAGCACTAGAAACAAGGAGTGACACAAAACGCTTCAGTCTGGACACATAATACTTGAGATTTAAAGTCTAAAACAGATCAATTCAAGAACTGTAAGTGCAAAAAAGACTTTAGAAAAAAGCTGATAAAAAGCAGTAGTCGCTACAGAGTACCTTCTAAATGAAACAATTTTGCATGAGGGAAGACCACACACAATTACCCACAGCTGGGACATTTTGTAAATAGAGGCCATCATCAGTCAAATCCTAGAAATATCAGTCATATCTAATCCCCTTACTTGACAACTTCTGTCCCTAACATTTCCCCTTTATCTCAGCTCCACATCCCATTAAGCGTAAGGTAGGCCATACCTGTCTCTCAGGGACTAGAGAAAGCCTTGCTTGGTTTAGGCCATCACTACTATATGCTGCTCCGTTAGCTGCATTTAAATGCCCCACCTGTGGTTTCCCCTGACCCACTGCAGGGTCACACAGCTGAGGTAACTCGGTACAGCTGCCCCCAGCCCTGCAGGAGGGCAGCGCTTTACACCGCCTGAACCTCCATCTTGGCTCCTCTTTAGCAGCAGCAGCCGCCTCCGTTCCTGTGCTTCCCCTGGGGCTGCCAGGGTGCCACGAAGGGGTGCTCCTGCCAGCTGCGGGACGCCAGGCTGGGCTGGTTTTGCCTCTGCTGGGTGCTCTTCTTGCAGCCAGCAGCTGCGGGAGGGCACCGCACGGCAGGTGGACAGGGGCAGAGGGGCCGGGGATCCAGGGAGAGGCACACAGTCAGGGTGCCTCGTGTCCGACCGACAGACTGCTCTCAAGCGTTTTCCTGCTTAACATTCTCATTAAAACATAGATATACAGTAACTCCCCACACCTTTTTGGGGTTTTTTATTGACATATTGTTTGATTTTGTATTTTACTCAGACAGGCTTTCCCCCAGAAAATACCAACTTTTTTGCTGGACTTTCTTTGTGCACTGTGGAGTGAACAGAGTGGCAGACGTGGTCTTAGGATACCACAAGTATATGTCTCTGTCCAATTTGGTTTTATGAATGAGCAGGTTCAAAGATTCCTTTATTTTTGAGGGGACAAGCATTTCTGCACAATTTCTTGCTGGAACTTCATATACAAAACATCAGAGAAATCCCATCTGGATACTGCATCAAAACAGAGGCATGGAGAGGCTTATGGAAGTGATCAGAGCAGTATTTTTTCATGACAGATGACTAGAAAACTTTTCTTGCACAGTAAAACACAGACTGAAAGAAGAGAGAATTGCAGTCTATAAGGCATCCAAGAACTAAATACAAGGAGAGGAAAAGAACTATTTAATTTAATAGAGATATGGACGTAAAGATTTTGGATGCAAACTTACCACAATCACATCCATCCTGGAAACTAGAAGGAGGATTCCAGTTATTAGGAGGATGAAGTACAGGAACTTTCTTCCCAAAAGTAATTTTTTACAAAGAAACAAAAAATTAAGCCCTCTATTCAAGATCATATATAAAGTTTGTGTCAGAGATGGGAGTCAGGTACCAGAGACTTAAATGCCAGGCTGGGTCCTTTAAAACAGATCCAATATTCTTATGAGGGAGGGTCAAATGTGTTGAAAAGATGGCTTACTGAGCCAAACTTTGCAATCCAATATAGGTGAAGTAAGAAAAGGAAACTAATATGAGAAAACAGGTTTTATTTTTAAACTATTAAGAAACAATAAATAAATAGGTAGTGGTAAATTAGTACTGGCAATCTTTGGAGTGATTAAAAAAAGATTTTTATCTAAACAAAAGGTTTGCATTTCTGACACAACATTACCTCAGGATGCTGCAGAATTAATCAAGATGTTTATGGGCAGTCTTTTTCTTCTTTTGCATGGCAGAACAAATAATTTATTGATACCTTAGTGTAATCTTCTGGGTTATGTTTTTATTTTCCTTTTAAATTTTATTTTTGGAATTATCAATACAACTGTGTCCTCAGGGAATAACATCCTTGCTTGTAAAGTTCAGTTATAAACAACCAAGCTTAGACGGTTCTCTTTCTTCTGAACTCCTTTTGAGTTGGGATTATTGCCTGACTGTAATTTACTTTTTTCCCCACACACAGTTCTTGTCAATCTGTTGACCTGGCTTTTTCTTTCTCAGTGTCAGAAGAAATCAATAACGGTTTCCATTTGGGGATTCCCAAGCGTACTTCCCTTATTATCAATTTCAATGCCATGCCTATTTTATCTCAAGCCCTATACATTACTTGCTTCATCAGATTTCTCTAAATCCTAATTTCAGTACCAAAATCCCATATTTGTTATTCCTTAGTTAATCTCAGATACTCACTTTATGCAAAGAGAGAGATATATTTGGTATTCAGGAGCGAAGATTTTTAAAAGTGGTTGTTTGGTTTCTCAGGTCCCAGTTGCCTCTCTCCATGCCAGGAACAGGGACCATGTTCCTGCTATAAACGTGTTGTCACCATCTCCAGGAGGGAGACAGTAACACAGGGTCACACACTCTCTCCAGTGTTCCCTTGCGCTCACATCACCTGTCTTGGGAACCTGGATTCCCAAACAATACTAAAAATGGAGTCCCAACCTTCTTTTTCCCTTGGCCTTACAGAAGACAGAATCTCGCACATTTTCAGGTATCCCTAACTTTGTCAAATGTCACCATTATTCTCAGCTTCTCTGCAGCCATTTCTGTCCTCCGGCAGCTTCTACCAGCGACATTTGCAGTTTCCCACAGGAGTTTGGTCTGAATGATGCTGTCTTACTGCTTTTTCTGTTTTTTTCACCCAACACCAACACCCTTCATTTTCCCCTTTTCCAGCAAAATTGAAAGACCAGCTTCTCACATTCAGTCAGTGGGATTGGAATGGCAATTCCTCAAAATAATGCATTCTTAAGGCAAGTTGTGCAAGGATGCAGAGGTGAGGGCTTTTCCGTTCTTCAGACAGTTGAAGAATTAGTGTGTTCCCCTATCGCCCTGGAAACATGTTTACAATTTCTCTTTCTATCTGCTTGTCTATCAAAGTGCTGCTGTTGACACCCAAACAACCTGCCTCAGCAACTCGTGAACTCCAATGAATTAATAACCATGGCGGCTTTGCAGAGAAAAACACTTGAGAAGAAATACATCTGTAAAACTTAAAAGCTCAGACTTTCAAGAGGTATTTAAGTGGCATGAGCCATGGAAAGATTCCAGAGTGACTTTCACAATACCCACCTGCATTGCTGTAAACCTACATAGCTTGTATACGTTTCTGCCCAAGTATCTTTAGAAAACTGAAGCAGAAAGTATTTAAATATGTCTTGCAATAAGTTCTTAGCTGATTTGGGGCATTTATCTGATACAGTGATGATGAAGTTAGATGTTCCAAGTCAACACATGGAACTGTCAGAGCATCCTTGCATGCTGCACAGCTCTGACCCATCACAGAGCAGAAGCTACTGAGAACTGCTTAGGGACTCCTGTGCAGGAGCTGGAGCATCTTCCAGAGAGGCAGTCTGCACTGGGAGGTACAGGAGCCATGTGTGTACATGATGACAGGAGGGACAACAGGAGCAGCTTGCCCTAGGCACTGAGGTGAGGGAGAGCCCCGCATCCTCTGCTGGTCCTTGGACCCTGAAAGCTGTGAAGGCACCAGACTGTTGTTCTCCCAGGTGCATTGTGCAAGCAGGCAAATTTCACACTGCTGCCTGCAATACCTGGTGTGATGCTGGTGCAGTACCACAGACATGAGCTCCACTGCTCAGCTTGAACTGAGAATTAAACACTGTGCTGAGAGCTGCTACTGGGTATGCTGTGCTGTCTCTCTTCAAAGGGCTTGGGTTGTGTAAGCAGACCAAGGGAACAACTAAACCATACACAATGAAAACAACTTTAAATGAGAGATTAAATGAAAGGAAAAAAAGTTGTCAAAATATCAAGGTTAATGTTTTGATAAAACTAACCAGGAAATGGCTAGGCATTATGAGTGTAAACTTTAAACATAATTAAAAGTTTGAAAATGCGAATACAAAACTAACTTCAGTCTAGACAGTCAATAAATCTATCCTCCTTAATGAAATACTGGTCCTTTTGGTAGTTCTGGTCAATTTTCTTCCTCATCCTTGCAACAGTGAATAATCTTGAAACCTGCACTGATGTCTGTCAAAACCATGGGAGTTGTGTGGAGCAGCACCACAGCCTCCCATGGCTCCTGCTCCCTGCCCTCCTGTGCCCCTGGCTGGGCCGGCCGCTCTGCCCCCAGCTCAGCTGCAGCCCTGGGATGGGCAGCAGCCTCCAAACATGCACACAAGGCCAGGGAGTGACAAATCTCTACCCCCACCCCTTAGCAGGACCACGATGGTTTCTGCAGAAATTTGCAGAGGCAGTTTGCTCTGTCTGCAAAGCACCTCAGGTGTGCCCGGGCACTAGAGGCGGGCCGGAGGAAAGGCACCTCCTTGCCTTACAGCCTCCGCTGGCTCAGCTATTTGGACAGCCAAAGACAGCAGAAAGAGAGCCTGCAGTGCCTCTGAGAAAGCCTGGCCCCAGTAGGTCTCTGACAGATTTTGAGATCAGTTTAAAGATCTCTGAGATCTTGTTTTCTTGCATTTTGTTGTTAGTGGGCATCATCACCCAGAGGTAGAATTATATGTAAATTGTCTACTTAGCCATTTTCCTGATCTTTCAGGCAGTTTTGTACTTGAAATAAAATTGCTTTTGAATTGATTTTAAGAAAAGAAGGGAAAATGGTAAGAACTGTCCATGATCTCAAGTTGTTTGGTTATTACTGGCTCAGTACATGCTTTTACATACTATTCATCCTCGTGAATGCTAGAAGGAATGTATGTCTGCTCCAAAAACAGGGCAGTTGTTCTTCCTTCCTTCTTTCCTTCCAAATGTTGCTCATACTTCTTGTGTGCACAAGCAGAGTCTGGTTAAATTGTCAAGACTTTAGTGGAGTCACCATACTTTTTGCTTAGACATTCCAATCTCGCTAGACAACCCCTTTTTCTTCACCTTTCTAACCTTTGCCAAGCCTATC